ATCGACGGCTTCGCCATCGCCAGCTTCAGCACCTTGGAGGCCTTGGAGGTAGGTGGACGGGGCGGAGGGGGGCGGCCACGAGGGCCGCGCAGCGAGGGGCTGGGTTCCCGGGGCGGCTGCGCCTGGAGCTGCGGAACCCCGCCTCTGAATTGCGCTCGGTCGCCGGGGCGGGGGGCGGGGGGGGGCTGCGCGGTGAGTTTGCGTTGCCCAAACTTCGCGGTGTCCTCCTCGAGGTGTGCTGGGGGAGAGTGGGCTGGGGAGCCTCTGGACTTTGGGATTCTCCCCCCGGGTCCTCCGTTCGGGCTTGGAGAGGAGAGAGAGGGGGGACCCCCCCCTCCGCGAGAGTGCGTCTCCCGTGCATAGCAGGTTGGGTGTAGGATGCTGGCAGAAGATCGCGCTTGTCTGGCTGAGTTTTCTGGACAGTATTTGCTGAGCAAACTCTACTCCTTTTTGCCCCGCACGCAGGTGAGAAGAGGGGAGATGGACCCCCGCTGGGTGGGCGGGCTACCTGCCTGCCTACCTGGCGGCCAGGTACCTCGGGCCAGTAGAAGGAACGAAGGTTTGCAGCCAGGGCTGTCGTCACCCAAGAGGCAGAACCCCAGGTTTTTGGCTCGCTCCTGGCCCGCTCACTTTTCCAGGGTGCTGGAGGAGCACCCTGCTTTGGGGACTGGGCAGTACAGCCTGGTTGCTGCCCATACTCACTGCTAACCCTGTCTACGAGGTCTTCTGGACCTGAGCTTCCAACCTCCAGGGGTCCTGCACCGTGCACACCTAGGGGCTCAGTGCCGGCAGGGTTACTGCAAGGCAGCCCAGCGTGTGCCATACCCCGTGAGAAGCCCCTGTCTCATATACCTGTCCTCCCCCATATCCTTCTCTGCTCCCGTATCTCAGACCCCTCCTCAGCATCACGCTCCACTGCCGCAGTGACAGTCCCTTCTTCGTCTCAGTCCTCTTCTAAGTGCTTCCAAGAGAATGGCTTATGCAGAGCATCAGTGCATCCCATTTGCTCCTGCCCCAGCCCCGAGAGAGCACGTTATGTGTGTCTCCAGAACACCTGTGGGTATTTCGGAGTTCCTTTTATAATTCCGTTTTATATAACCTGTAGGACTAGCCGTCAGGAAATCAAAAAGCGAATTGCACTGGGCAAATCTGCTGTCAGGCACCTTTCCAGAGTGTTGAGGAGCAACGATGTCAGTCTAGAGACTAAGGCGTGCCTGACCCAGTCCATGGTCTTTGCAATTACTTGCTATGCATCAGAGAGTTAGATAATGACTAAGGAGAATAGAAGAATTGCTACTTTTGAGTTGTGCTGGAGAAGAGTCTTGAACATACCATGGACTGCCAAGTAAACAAATTGTTCTGTCTTGAAAAGGTTGAAACCACGTTTCTCCTTAGAGGCTAGGATTTTGAAGCTCTGTCTCACATACTTTGGAGACCGGTCCTTGAAGAAGGACATCATTGCTTGGAAGAGTAGAGGGATAGCACAGGAGAGGACGACCCTGGATGAGATGGATTGACACAGTGACTAGGGCAATGGAGGTAGGTCTGTTGGAGTCAGACTGGCTCAGGACAGGGCAGACTTAAGAGCTGTTGTACACAGGGTCGCTGTGAGTCGCAGGCAACTTGATGACACATAACAACTACAATCTGTAGGACAAATGGCTGAATAGGTGAGAGCAGAAGCTGAGGCTATGTGCAGAGTTCACCTGTGGCCATATGAAGCCTGTGCTGGGCAGATTCTAGTGTGGTATGTTGGCACTGGTATTGATCTGGTGGCCTCTCCATTGGAAGGTGCAGCCTCAGGCTTGGACAGCTGTTGAGGTGAGACCTGCTCGACCAGTCTTGCTGAGCTCTGTGCCGTTACCCTGGTGCCTTGGAAAGCCCGGGACTTCTGGGCAGGTCACAGCATCAGGATCTGGTAAGCTCCTCCTACTGGACCTCAGCTCTCTGCAAAGCTCAGGGGCCTGGTGGTGGTCATGTTGACGGGAGTGGTGTGTCAACACTGTGCCTGAAAGCAAATGGCCCTCAGGGCTTCCTCACTCTGCTGCCTGGGCCTGGCCCTCAGGGCAGGTAGACAGTCACACTACAGGTCTCCTCTGTCTGTAAGGATGACCCAGCAGACACTCCCCTTGTTGTCCCACTCTGTGCCCTGGGCTCTTGCCCCTGGAAGGCCTTCAGTTTGGAGCTGCCCACAAAGAGCCTTGCTGGGCGCCTCCCTTAGGCACTGTGTGGCCACAGTCAGGTCTTGATAAAGTGCACAGTGACTTTTACTTAGTTACTTTATTTGCCCAGGATCTAAAAACGTTTGGCACAGTTCCTGCAGTGAAGATTTATGCTTCCCTGCTTCATTTGGAAACGGACCAGCAGAGGAGCCTGGGTGACCATGTTCCAGGACTCTGTGGGTAGAGGAACTAAGTGGAGGCAGGCCTCAGTTTCCCTGAGGCAACCAGGGGAGGTGGACTGTACCCTTGGCTGTGTGAGGCTGTGAGAATCCACGCATTGCTGTGATCAACCTTCAGGTCCCCTCATGACCATGGTCATCCTAGGTTCTTGTTCCCAGCATCAGCAATGCCAGGGGCTCTGCAGGTTGGTCCGCAGGGTCCTGCAGTTGAATTGTTGGGGTTTGAGCTGTTGTTGGCAGAGTGCTCGGACGTGTGCCCACCTTGGCCTTTCAAGGAACCCAAGCTGTAGACCAAGGACACTTGAGTCAGGAAGACCTTGGTGGTCTGGATTCTAGGGTAAGCTTGTGGTGAACTCGGAGGTGCTAGCTGATGGCCATCATAGCCAAGTCTCTAGGGTCTGAGGATTTGATCAGGGCTTACTCTGGGTTTCTCTACCTTCTGAAATCTCAAAGGTCTAGTCGCGTCATGGCAGCCCTGGAGAAGGATCTCTGCCTGACCTCCCAGACTGAGCCCCTCCTCTCCACCTGTGTGCTCCCAACAGGCTCTTTACCACCATCTCTGCTTCTGAAGGCCCACCACCCCCACCTCTGCTCTCGACAGGCCTGTCACCCCCACCTCTGTTCCCAGTGGACCCCTCATCCTCACTTCTGTTCCCTACAGGTCCCTCACCTCCACCTGTGTGCTCCTGACAAGCCCCTCACCTCCACCTGTGTGCTCATGACAGGCTCCTCACCTCCACCTGTGCGCTCCTGGCAGGCCCCTTCACCTCCACCTGTGTGTTCCCGATAAGCCCCTCACCTTGTGTGGCAGCCTTAACCTGGATAGCAGAAGACTATCATTTGCTCTGAAAACCATTCTTGCATCATTGGCCTGGCCTCTCTGTCTTGGTGCTCCCCTAGACTTCTTGCTGCTGTGTAACAAACACATGTGTCCCCTTCTGGTTTCTTCTGTGCTGAGAGGGGAGACCTACCCTCATGGCCGCCTGTATGATCTCACTGCTCTGAGGTGGTCTTGTCTTCTCTGTGGTCAGCAGGATCACTCAGTCCTGGCCTAAAGCCCAGGATGCATTTGGATCTCCTGTCCCTCACTGATGGACAACGAGCTGACGTTTGGTGTCTCTAAGCAGAGAATGGCTTACCTGTGCTTGTGGGAAACTAGCCCCTGGCCTTGGGGGTGCCATCCTGTGGTCTGAAGTTTGCAGGTGTCTAATTGCAGTCTGTCTGAATGAGGGAGAGCGATGCCTCCTGGACCTTTCATCTCAGCTCACACATCAGGGAGAGCAAGAAAGTGGGGGCGGACAGGAACATGTAAGGTGACCAATGGGTCTGAATGTAGTACTAGAAGGTGCCACCTTCACCAAGCCCCCAGAAAGCCTGTGACCTGACTCAGATGGGGACATGGAGGCCAGGAGGGATGCAGTTCTCTGTGTGTACAGCATCACAGAGCTGGGGACACTCCCCCAAGCTCTGGCCTCACACGGGCTTTGCACACTGCTGCCCAGACCAGTCTTGGGCCCTGGCCACTTCCCCTTGTTAGTTCTGTAGTTTGCTTCCAGCCCTGTTGGCTGACTCATCTATTGTAAGCTGCTAGGTTGCCTAGACCTTATCTGGAGCAGAAGGGAGAAGAGCCATCATGGGCCCACAGCAGGAGGCTGTGGTGGTCAGCCCTACTCTTGACCCAGCCATCCCTCCCATGCCACTTTCTACGTCTCTGTAAGATTCTAAATTAGTTGCAGTGGCCAAACAACTCAAAACAGACTGGTCAGTTTGGGGACCTAATAAACTAAAAAAGTGACAGGTTACAATTTAGAATGAGGTTCACCGTGTAAGTAACCAGAGCCACAGCTTGTCAATCAGAATAGTGCTCAGCTTCCTGGCTATGCCCACAGGCAGGCCATACTTGGGCCTCTGCATCTGACCCCACTTGATGAGTGTTGCAGCTCCTCTACTGGTCCATTGCCTGGAGGCACTTGCCTGAAGGTGGGCAGGCTGATAAACCCACTGTACAGGTCTCATGTTGGTCCCCTGCGTCCAGAAGGTTCCCAGTGTACACTTCTGTACATTTCTGTCCCCTGGGTCTAGGAGATTCTTGGCACATGGCCCCCAGGTTCCAGGAACTCACTCCACTCTCAGTTTCTTAATGGTGGTGGGGTCCTGCTGGCCTCTTTGGGATTAATGTGTAGAAGCCGGCAGGATGGCAAAAATGAAATGAACCAATCCTTGATAGACTACAATGCCCTTATTTGCACAGTAAGCTGTTCAGTCCCTTGGCAGGACTGTGGTTTACCATGGTGGTCTTCGCACTGTTGAAGTGAAGTCCATCGCCCTTCTCCTGTGTCTTCACTTGAGCAGTTTCCCAGGGATATGCTCTTGTTAGTGTGCACTTGCCGTCCTGGCCCTTTTGGTGGATTATCTCAGGCTCTTTTTTTAGTGAAGTTAAAATTCCACGGGTGGCATTAGCTCCCTGGGTGAAATGCCACGTGTTTGTAAGCAGTTGTCCTGGTAGAGTATGGACCAGTGGGTCTGTGTTGGACTTGTGTCCTTTGTAGAAAACTGGAGAGGGACTCAGCCTTACACTGGTATGCATGCCACGTGTCCATAGTTCGTGCATATGTGTGTGGGGGGAGGGGGGGTGGGGTGCACATACCTGTACCATGTACACATGTCATTCCTCACATCTGTCTGCAGTATGTCTGGGTGTGTCAGTCTGTACCTGAGGCTTGACCTGTGTGCCCTCTAGGCCATCTGGGGCCTGCCTGGTGGACCCTCCCTGGCTCATGTCCATGGCCTGCAGAGGGCAGAGCTTGACCTGCACCTGACTCTCTAGCTAGCCATATGCTGGCAGACCCCTGAGCTGACCCCCGGGGCTGGGACGGTCATCCCTGCCATCCTACCCTATTGTTTTTGGTTTTTTTTCATCCTACCCTATTGTGATCTCATAGTCCTGGGTCCCCAGAGAGGAGATCCCAGGTCCCTACAGCTTCCTAGTGTGTCTCTTTAGTGCAAGCTTCTAGACCCTTCTTATTTCCTCTAGGAAAATCTCAGGTCTTTGCTGGGTGCCCCTCCATGCCTTCTGTTCTTGAGAGCTCCTACCTTCTGTGAGACCTCACTTCTTAGGGTCACCCTTTGCCCCACCACTTTTAGGAGCCCCTCCATTTCCAGCCTCTCCTGCTCTTCAGTTCCCAGCTGGGACTCCCAGTCTCCCCCTCAGCTCTAGTCTCCTTTCAGAAGGTTATTTTCCCTGGCACATATGCTCTCAGCCCTCACCCTTGATTCCCTCCTGACCCCTAGTTGTTCTGTATCCCAGTTTATGGCCTATATCCTATTTCTGACCTGACCCATCCTGCTTCTGTGCACATAGGCCCAGCTGCCCTGCCCTGCCCTGTGGCTACTGTACCAGGAAGAGCCTGTACTCTTCTGTGTGGTCATGTGGCTGTCAAATAACACTGAGGGGTTGAATTCAGATCCCCCTCTGCCATGATCCCCTCAGGTCTCTGTTGTGGCTCTAGCTCTCTTAGACACTGGCCTTGAGCCCTACCCTTCACCTTCTGTCCTGAGTCTCTGCACTCTGACCACATGCTGCTCTTGAAGTAAGCACATGTCTGAGCACCTGTCACTCAGCCTCAGTGCAGACACTGTTCGTGGGCAAGTCCTTTGTTGGACCCCTTTCCAGATGTATTATTGTACTGTCCAGGCCACATGAACTGTTAGAGCTCGTGGTGAGTCCCACCCCTGGTGGGAATGCCAAAAGCAGTGCCCCTTGTGGCCTCCACGCTGTTTCAGGTCAGGGCCCCCAGGATAGACATCTGCTGACCATAGAGTATCCTCTGTGTGTGTGGCCGACATGGCACCTGAGGTCTCTGCCTAGTCCACACTGTCCACCACCAGGCTGTGTGTCCCATCTCCAGGCTCTGAGGCAGTCTGGGTGGCCGGACTCCAACACATTCCATTTGGCCTGTCTGGGCAGCTGTGGGAGCCGTGTCATCTGGATGCAGTTGGTACAGGGCACAGGGAGGTCATGGGGCTGAGGAAGGCAGCAGAGGGTCTTGGTAAGGACCGACTTCAGGTCAGCCTGGCTCTCTCCCTCAGCTTACTGAATCCAGGTATGGTATGGACGTGCCTGTGTGTGTTGGACTGCTGGATGAGAGAGTGTTCAGTGTGCAGATAGGAGAGTACCTATGTGTGTGTGTAATTACGTAGATGAACATGGCAGTGGTTATGTAGCTGAGTATTCTGTTACAGAGTTAAGTGTATATGATTACATGGATGGGTGTACAGCACAGATGAGGGTGTGTAAATCACACACATCTGCACGATCATGTGTGCAGGGGTGTGTGTTGACGTGTGTGAGGATGACTGCATGGCTGTGTGGTCATGCATGGTGTCTATGCACATGTGACTTTGAAGGCTCCTTAGAACTACTGCCTGTCAGCTTCCGTGTGTGTTTCATGTCACCCTTGCAGTTTATCATGGCGCCTCTTCTGGGGGGAATGTGACCATTCCCTTTTGCGTATGTCTTCTTTCTCTGTAATGAAACTGTCTGGTCCTGGTGCTGCTCTTACTGGTTGGAGCTGGTCTGGCTCCTGGCTCCTTGACCCGATGCTGTGTCTTCCCTGGCACCTGGCTGGCCCTGCCAGGCTCACAGTTGGTCTCATTACCAGTGTGTGGATTGAAGAGGCTGGACACACTACCCCCAAGCATAGAGTGGGCCTGGTGCCCCTCAGCAGGGACCCAGTGTTTGGGTTCAGTAAGGCTTCTGGTGCTATGACTGGGGTTCAGTCCTCTGGTACCTGGGGAGGGCTGGCCCACCTCCAGCCATGGGACAAATGTGGTGGACAGGCTCCAGAGGGTTCAGAGGAGAAATGTGACAGGGCTTGGACCTCTGTGAATAAAGGTGAAGCTGCAGAAATGAGGCACCTATGGGGCACTCTGTTGGCCTGTTAATAGTGAGTTGCACTGCCAGCCCAAAGGCATCCATCCCTCTCTCTCAGTTCAGAACTCCCAGCAGTTCCTCAGGAGAAATACGGGCGATCTCCTCTCATGAGGTATACAGCATCTAGAAACCCCCGGGAGGCCCAGCTGTGATAGCAGTTGGTTCTGGATAGCAATCACTGAGGTGTGGGATATTCCCTGGTCCAGTAATCCAGGGAAAGAAAGTCTTCATTCCTTTCCAGATACAGATGTTTCTGGTCACCTCTCTGAGAGTCCTTCCGGGCTCACATCTCAGTGGAGATGTGCGTGGAGCCCCTGTGTGTCCTTGCCCACCGTAAGGCCCCTCTGGCTGCGTGGCCCAGAGGCTCATGGATTAGCTACCTGTATTGCACAAGATGAACTGTTTTTCATTCATCTACCTACAGACCCAGGCACAGGGGCCTTCAGAAATGAGGTCCAGTATGGTCAGAAGGATTACAGCTTTAGCTCTTGGGGACATTGACAGTTTTGCAAATGTGCTGTAGAGACCTGCTGTGCCCCTCAGGGACCTGCTTCTCTGTGGAAAGGCTAGCACCTTTCTAAAGTCAGCCGTGTGTGTTTGCACACACGTATGTGGGGTACACCCCAGCCCCATCTGATCCCACTCTTTCTCCTTCCCTATCCCCCTGTCTCTCAGATGAGTAGAAGGCAGGGTCCCCAGAAAAGGCCTTTTAGGAGGAGTGGAGAGTCTCAGGCACCTACCACCCCCATGCTGGGAAATTCCAGACATGTTGTGACAGGGGTGCGGGCCTAGGTGCCAGGATCCTGGCTGAGACGGGACTTCAGAAGGTAGAGGAGGTCAGCTAGGCGACCCGGAAGCCAAGAATTGGTCAGACAATTTGCAAATAGTTTCGTGACCTGGGCATGGCCAGGAGACCAGCCGAAGCTGACACAATCTCTTTCTGTAGTTGTATACTATGAACATTGACCCCAATGCCTGCTCTCAGACCATTCTAGAGGGCAAACCGTGCCACAGCCAGCACACCTGAGACTCTACTGACGCTCCTTTAGGCTGGGGCTCAGGACCAGGTAGGATTCAGGCTTGTGGACACACATGTCCACTAGGGGGCAAACAGCACATCGTAGTGGGCCCACAGTGGCTTGTGCATGAAGCTCTCAGGGAGCTGCCCTAACCTCCACCCCATTTTCAGATTTCAGTGGGTTCACCCTGTGTTACTCTTTTCCGACCATCCAGACTACTTAAGCTTTAATCTCTTTGCACCTTTACTCAGAGATGACTTCCCAGGATAAGGGACCCCTTCCCCAGCTGGGAAGGCCACTTAAATGGGATCAACAACATGTTACTGTTTTCTTTAAATAAGTGCTGGCAAATATAGCTGAGGGTCCAGAGCTACCGAGGCCAGCCACACATGTGGTGGTGCCGCTAGAGGATGACAAATGTCTCACAATGGTGTCATTAACGGAGTAGCAAGAGTCCAGTGGTGGTGTCACTGGTGGGATAACAGATCTTGCAGTGGCGTTCCAGTGGTGCCACTAGTGGGATAACAAGAATCTCATGGCACTGTCCCTACTAGGATAACAAGTGGCATCTCCGCGTCCCCAGTTTAATCAAGACCCCATTTTAACCAACTCTGTCTTTCAACTCTTGCAGAAGGACATGGCTCTCAAACCACATGAGCGGAAAGAGAAATGGGAACGTCGCCTCACTAAGAAGCTCCGGGAGTCAGAAAACTGCCCCGCAGCAGAGCCCAGTGAAAATGGGCAGCCCCTGGAGGCAGGCAGCCCTGAGCAGGACTTAGAACCCCCCTGCGAACAGGGCACGAAGAAGCTTCCACTGCAGCCCGCCAAGCAGGTGAGCCCAGGTCTCGCCTCTGAGACCAGCCCCCAGCTTGGGCACCTGGACCATGCAGCGGGGTCTGTGCACACTCCCCTGGGTACCTTCTGGGCAGCGCCAGCACCTGGACACCACCCGTCGGCACTGGGCCTGCCCGGCAATGTTTGCCATCGTTGTTGGGCTGAAGGTCAGGGGCCAGAGCAGAGTCAGGGCAGAGGCTGCTGGAGCCAGAGAGATGGTGACTTGTCACAGAGGTTGGGCCAGGACTCAGGCCAGGTCGGCCAGGGCCAGGGCCTCTCCCAGTGCGTGCTGGACGGGCCGCTGCTCTGCTGTGTCCTCCTGATAGGGGTGGGCACATGGTGTGTTCTTAGCCTGAGTGCGTGGGTGTCTCCTCGACAGTGACAGCACCAGTGTGGTAGGCCGGCCCCGTCTCCCTGTTGCGTCTGTCAGGCTCCGCCGACTACAGGGTGTCCAGTGTGTCTAAAAAGATGGGGGACCCGGCGCATTGCATACCCAGGTGCCATCAGCTAACCCTGCTCCGGACAGTGTCACCACACTGTACAGGGGCTCACAGAGCACCTTAGGTCTCCTCTGGGATTGCGCGATTTGTGGTTGATCGGTCAGATACCGGGAGCTACCAGAAAATGGGCTCTGTGTATAGACCTGGTGGGTCTTACGCCATCGATACTGACAGTGGGGTGTGTGAGGTCACCCAGAGTGTGATTAAGGGCAGAGGGGAGACCAGGTGGGACTTTGCAGGAAGTTGAGTTCAGAGGCAGGGTGTAGGGTGTCTGCTCTAGGCGACGCTCAGAATCACTGCTGCTTCTTCCAGGAGTCACTGGTTCGCGCCTTCTTAGTGTGCCGGACCGGGGCTGGGTGGGAGGGTGGCTGGCACACCTGCCCAGGTGGACACGTGCTCTTTCTTCCATGCAGGTGTGCTCCCCAGAAGGGGGGCCGCTCCCAGACCACCCCTGGGACCAGAACAGCCCGGCCCAACGCCAGCAGCAGCTCCAGCCCAGCCAGCCCCAAGGGTCACTCCCAGCCCCGTGTCAGCGTTGCCAGCCCCGTCGGGCACTCCCGGACCCCGGGCAGCCCTGCCAGCCCCAGCGGTCACTCCTGGGTCAGCGCAGCTGGCCCCAGCGTTCACTTCTGGGCCTCACACAGCCCTGCCGGCCCCGTCGCTCACTTCTGGGCCCTGGTCAGCCCCGCCAGCCCCAGCGGCTGCTTCCAGCCCCAGGTCAGCTCTGCCAGCCCCGGCGGTCACTCCTGGTCCAGCCCTGTCGGCCCCACTGGGTTCTCCCAGGCCCAAGGCCACGCTACCGGCACCTGCGCTCCCTCATGGCCCCGTGCCACCATTTCCGGCCCCTGCGCTCACTCCTGACACCATGGCACCGCTGCCGACCACTGCAGTCCCTCATGACCCCAAGCCACCGCTACTGGCCGCTGCGTTCCCTGCTAACCCCATGCCGCGTCTGCCAGCCACTACGCTCCCTCCTGGCCCTGCGGCACCATTACTGGCCTACACGGTCCTGGGCAGCCCCCCGTTTCCGCCACCAGCCCAGCAGGGCATCCTCAGGACAGCGCAGCCGGCCTCTGCGCTCACTGTTGGCACACTGCCCACGGTGCCAGCCTCCACGCTCACTCCTTACCCTGTGCCCACGCCGTCGGCCCCCCAGCTTACTCCTGGGCCCATGCTGCTGCCCCCGGCGGGCACTCCTGGCTCCATGCCAGCGCTGCCAGCCTCGAAGATCTCTTCTGGGCCATCCCAGCCGTCTTCGGCGGCCATTGTTGGCTCTTGGTCAGCTTCAGCAAGTGGGCAAAACCCCCAAGCAGCTCAACCTACCTAAACCATCTCTGCTGGGTCGAATCCGCCTGGCCAAACGGCCACTGTTGGGCCCAGAACTGTGCCGCGCAGCCAAGCGGCCACTCTTGGGCCCAGGACATCTCTGCCAACGGAAGCGGCCACTCTTGGGCCCAGGACATCTTTGCCAGCGGAAGCGGCCACTCTTGGGCCCAGGACATCTTTGCCAACGGAAGCGGCCACTTCTGGCCCTGCCCTGCCAGCCTCTGCGGTCACTTCTGGGCCCGGGACCTCGCAAACTCCGGCCATTGCTGCCAATACCAGAACGACCATCACTTCTTGGGCGGCCTGCTCGCCGGCCACTCCTGGAGCACCCATGTCAGCCGCGCCAATCACTTTTGGATTTGAGGCAGGTCCGTCGGCCCCGGGTCTCCCTCCTGGGCCATCCCTGCAGACCCCTGAGGTCACGGAGGACCCGATCGTCCACTTTAGGGGTGGCCCGCCAGGCCCCATATGTGAGTCCTGGAGCCTGATGTGTGGCAGGAGCCTGCCCAGCTATGTTCTCCAGACACGTGCACGTGACCTCTGAAGGCCCAGCCCACAGTGGACTATACCTCGGTCTCCAGATGGTCGCGGCTGTCTGCTGTTGGAATGAGCTTCTCCAGAGAGGCAGGGTGGCACCAAGACCCTGGTGCTGAAGAGGAGCCGACCAGGGGTTCGTGTGCCACCTGTGGGGGCACCAGCTGCACTGTGCTGCACGCAGTGAGGACAGCCTCCCAGGGCCGAGCTGGCCCTCAGCTTCTTCCTGTGCCTCAAAATTGCCAACACTGTTGTCTGTGAATATCTGCAGCACCTTTGTGGGTGCGTGGCCCAGTGTGTATGTGGGGGGGGTATGTACGGATGTGTTCACAAATGATTCTGTGTGCATGTGAGCCTGGCCACACCCCAGATGGTGGGGTCTTGCGGGGTTTGCTGAGGTGGCATCCATGGCTTGTCCTTGTTCCCTGCCCTAACCCTCTCTAGTGTCTCCCTGCAGTCTTACCTGGCTGCTGGACTATCCCTGGCCACTTCACCATGTAACCCCAGTCCCCACCTTATCTCAGGGCAGCCCATGCCCAGTGCTGTTGAGGGTTGGGCCGAGGAGACGCAGGCAGTGCCCAGCAGCAGCCTTGCAGGGACACCTGTTCCAGGAGGACCCTGAGCGGGATGCCACCAGCTCAGAGTTGTCCCTGTTGCCTCGTTTTGTGATGGCCACTCCCGAGGCCGCCCTGTTTACATGGTGAGGCCTTGGGCTGCATGCTGCCCCAACTCTCAGGCCTGGGCGGGCACCTCAACTTCCCTGTGCCCGTTTCTCCAAGGACTCCACAGGCCGATCCAGCAGGCAGGTTTACAAGCGTCTGTGGGTCACTGACCTGCTCACCCACCTAGAAACACGGGTTTATTTTTCTGATAAAAGGAAATAAAGAGTCCCGTGTCGTTATTTTCCACAGCTGCTTCTGCGTCTCTGCTTAACTCTGAATCCTGTTATGAGTGTGCGGTCGTCCACCAGCCAGTGTCTGCGCCAGATCTGGTCTCATCACTGTAGTGCAGATGAGGGGGTGGGTGAAGGTGTCCCATGCCTGTTTCTTCTATCCGAGACAAGTGGACAGAGGCCACAGAGCTTGTAGAAAGGGCTACAGTGGAGGGTGAAGGGTGCAGAGGCAGGCCCAGGGGCGTATTCTTGGGGGAGGGGTGTAGAGGCAGGCCTAGCCCTCAGTGGGTGGGATGGGGGGGCGGGGGGCCAGGGACAGGAGTGCATAGACAGTCCCAGGCCTCAGGTTGGGAGAGAGACAGAAGGACCAAATTGGCCCTTGAATTGGTTCCAACTCCGTGGCCTCATTGGGTTCCCAAGTCTGTGAATTGCTAAGGAAGAAAACTACCTGCCTCTCCCCTCAGAATGACTGGTGGATTTGAACTGTTTTTGGTTAGTAACCAACACCTTACACAATTCAAGGCTTCTGATAGGAAGGCTTCTGAGAGCTAGAATGCGGCATTTGAGCAGGGGCCGTGGCCACGTGGTTCTTGCCATGGAGCCACGGGCATCCTGGTTGTGTCCAGCTGGACAGCCACTGGCCATGCAGCACAATGAGGATACTCAGCCAAGCCACAGGGACCCTCTGAGTGGGGTGGGGACTTGGCATGAAGTCCCTCACAGGGCTGAACCAGGGTGGACCACCCTAGGGGCAGGAATCACGGTTATGAGCAGATGCCTCCTGGGGTTGGGAGTGGCCCCACCGATGCTGCTCTGACCATCAGCTCAGAAAGCCAACTTCCATATGTTGGAATTACTTGCTCCTTAAGGTTTTCAGAAGTGAGTGACCAGGTTCTTCCTCCAAGGTCCCTCTGGTGGACTCAACTGGTGTCCAGAGGCCCCAGCAAGCTGTTCAGTGGGCATGTAGTGCAGCCGTGTGCCCCAGCCCTGCTACCACAGAACTGCAGGACAGAGCACACTGGCGAGTCCCTCCACCGTAAGTCTGGGGTTGAACCCTGTCCATCCGTATGTTGTTATGTGTCGTTGAGTCGCTTGCGACTCATAGCGACCCTATGTACAACAGCCCTAAACTCCACTGGCCAATTGCACTGTCTCTGACACTCCCATCACAATTATCCCAGTCACTGAATCAATCCACCTCATAGAGGGCCTTCCTCTCCTGCGCTGTCCCTCCACCCTCCCAAGCATGATGTCCT